GCGCACAATAGGCTAGCTCAGACAAAAAGCTTCCAGCTCCCTGTTAGTAGTGGAGATGGGAGTGACATCTGGTGAACTTAAAGGGGGCACCAGGGCTCTCCTGGCAGTGTGCTGTAGTGATTTTGATACACTTTTGCATTATCAATGGTAATTTTTCCAACTTGGATGACTTTAATAGGCAAGCCCACTCCCATCACTCTAAGCCAGCCACCAACTACATGGTAGCTTTAAGCTTTAATATGCATAAAAGTTAATCATTGGATCTTTCAAAACTTAATTTAAATTGAAATGATTGAATGAAACTAAATTATTGCCTTTTCGGTAATACACAATATCATAAGTTGGGAAATATATAATTTTAACCCCTTATGGATGGAGCAATTGAACAAGTACCGAACAAAAACAAAATCTGAAATTTGAGCTATAGCTCTATTCACCCATAATTTACCTCTTTATCATTTATCAAGTGCACCCAGACTTATTATATATCATTTGGTTCAGGGGAAATATGTCTTTCATTTCACATCATTGAAACATAATTAAAAAATGATGTGAGAAAATTGTGTTATAATACTGTTAGCCTTTAAAGCAATAAAATAACATATTTGTATTCAGCGATGTCTCACGAGTTAAACAGTTCCCCTCATGTACAGATTTTATGGGGTTTTGACACGTTACAGGGACAAATATAGGGATTGCAAATTAGATTCTCTAGACTTTCTGCCAGGGTTGTTCAGGCAAGCCCCTCAATATACCATTATAAAATCACATAATTATATAAAAATAATACATAAATATACACGCAGAATTACATTTTATATATATATATATAGTAAAGTAGACTGTGTACAGAGATTAGCAAGTTAGTGATCATATAAACATGCATTTCAGTTTCTCCAATGGAGGAGATAATCCTACTAATATGAGCAGCATACACACTCATTATAGCCAAAAATTTCAATTGGAAAGTGGCTGCAAATGGCTGGACACGTGTACAAAACAAAAGCCCTTTGAGATAATATGCAAGTGAGCTTTTTACGCTTGTTTGATTTAAAGCATATTTTATTGAATCTGTCAGTGGTTGTTATAGTCTTGTAACAGTGGTTATTTTGCATTTTTGTTTAATTTACTTTATTTGTATAATAAAGAGATTCAAGTTATTAACTAAAGTGTGCATCTTTTTGTATACAGCATACACACTCAGCCATGAAAAGTTGGATGAAAATTACACAGTAAAGGAGAAGTGGAAACAAAAAAAGGGATTGGATTATAACTATAGCAATTTTTACAAACTGTTGCAGATATACGACACACACAGCAGTGAGGGTGGTTTAGGGTCATTTCGGCACCATAAACTACAATGGAAATGCAAAGTTGTTATGGTGACCCGTTAAACATTTGACCTGCTCTGATAATATATCATCTAAAATGTCTAGCTTACCTAAAACACTTCTGTAATCAAAATGTCAAATAGAATAATAAACAAATGGAGCTAGGTTCTATTATATGAGATTAGCTTAATGAGTAATTAGTAATTAACACTTGAGTAGCAGTTCATCTATTGACTTCAAGAACAAGAGATAGGCTTAAAGGACCACTCTAGGCACCCAGACCACTTCAGCTTAATGAAGTGGTCTGGGTGCCTGGTCCAGCTAGGGTTAACCCATTTTTTAATAAACATAGCAGTTTCAGAGAAACTGCTATGTTTATTAATGGGTTAAGCCTTCCCCCTAATCCTCTAGTGGCTGTCTCATTGACAGCCATTAGAGGCGCTTGCGTGCTTCTCACTGTGATTTTCACAGTGAGAGCACGCCAGCGTCCATAGGAAAGCATTGTAAATGCTTTCCTATGCGACCGGCTGAATGCACGTGCAGCTCTTGCCGTGCGGGCGCATTCAGCCGACGGGGCGGATCGGCGGAGGAGGAGAGGAAGCAGAGAGCTCCACGCCCAGCGCTGGAAAAAGGTAAGTTTACCCCCTTTCTCCCTTCCAGAGCCGGGCGGGAGGGGGTCCCTGAGGGTGGGGGCACCCTCAGGGCACTATAGTGCCAGGAAAACGAGTATGTTTTCCTGGCACTATAGTGGTCCTTTAACTCATCTAATAGACTCTAGCCTTAAGAAGAAAGGGCATTTGTTACTGGAAACATTTGCCGTTCCTTCTTATGGGTAGAGTATGAAAAAGGAAGTATGATCTGATGTGTTAAAGAACAATACAGAAACAAAAATATACATAAACAAATACAAAAAGTCCCTAAACTATTTAAAGAGGGTATCTTGTATCAGATAAAATAAAACAATGGGTTGATGAGTAGTGCTATTAAAAAAATAAAAAATAAAAAATAAAATAAAAGTACAAAAAAAACCTGTTTTGTTTTTTGCATTAGTGAGTTGCATTTTTATATATATTCTATATAATCTTTGATAGCAATATAAAAAGTATAACATCACTATAAACAAACAAAAAATAAGAAATAGTAAATCAACCAAAATAAGGGATTCTAAGAGGATTCCAAAATGTTTTTATAATTATTTAAAAAAAACAAAAAAAACATGTGGTGTGCAGCCTGCCATACACTGTCAAACACCAGGTATAAATGGATGCCTTGCTTACAATGTGTGAATGCATGTCATAATTATATATTATTTACCTGTTCTATGTTAAATATTGTATATGTGTTGTGTATTACTATTGTTGATGTATTTTTCACTATTTTATTGTACTCTATTGTAACGATACAATGTGTGTGGACCCAGGGCATACTTGAATGCAAGAGAAATCTCACCGTATCTTTCCTGGTAAAATATTTTATAAATAAATACAATTATGAGGATGAATGTGACCTCACAGCATTGCAGAAATAATCTGCCCAAGTAAGATGTTGATGTCTGTACCAGCTACGGAAGTAAGTGTATCTTATATGTACCTTACACGTATCTCTGCTCTATACCCCAACCCAGTACACCCTCCATTACCAATCAGTGGGTGAATGAAAACAGAACTAACACCTACTCAATGTAATGGTTTCATATTAACTAAAGGCTAATTCTATGAAAACAACACATGCTGTATAAAGCCTTAAAGCAACACTCCAAGACTCCAACCTCCATAACCACAACAGTTTATTGTGGAAGCTACCTAGCACAGCCTGATCATGCAGTGCGTGTTCACATTGTACAAGTACTTTGATGTAATTTGTTAGAGGTGTCATCTATTTGTCCTAAGATTGGGGGAAAAAATAGCATGGACAGCTTATTGGCACCATAATCACAATATTCAGCTGTGGTGGTGATTATGGTGTTTGGAGTGACTCTCTTGATAACAAGTGACCACAAGCAATGAATAAAGAGGTTTCCTTTAATAAATTCATAATAAAACAGTTAATCTCATAAAACTCTTGTTATGGTAATAAAAAAATGTTCTTACATTTTGACAATAAACCTGATTTTCAATGGGGATTGAATAATTTTCATTACAACTGTTTACACTATATGGACAAAAGTATTAGGACACAACTCTGTGTTTCAATCACGCCTGTAGTGGAGCTGCAATACTTCAAGCGAGTATCTCCACTTAAGTACTCTCAGGTTGGAAGAAATGCTGCCGTAAGGATTATCGCCTACCTCCCCAAGCACTAGAGTGAAGGGGAGAACAACAACCTTTCTTAAAAACAGAGCAGCTATTTATAGCCCAACAGCCTAATTTACATACAATAGGGTTACAGTGGTACCCAATGGCAGTATGGACTTGGGATAGTAACCAATCACACTGCATATCCTAAGCCAACCAATAACAATACGGACTTGGAATAGCAACCAATCCCATTACAAAACTTACAACCAGTGTGAAATGTAATTACAAGGAAGGGTGGGGACAGATAATAACAAGGGCTAAGGACCACATAATACATTTAAAGGCGTGTCAGGCATTCAGTTTTAACTGCAAAATAAATAGATAAAAGAGGTAAGCAGCGCTAAAAATTAATTAAATATACATACGAGGAAAGGGCCAATGTCTAATTCATATGTCTTAAAGAGAAAACAAGAGACAAATGATGGTGCAATACAGTGGATACATATAAATAGAACTCACTCACACTTTTTAGAGCTATATCAGCTCTATTTAGAAGTCCTGGACGGAATAATCCCTGTCTATGTATATGGGTTGGAGGTCTGCCAAGCTTGATTTCAAGTTGATATGGACATCAAATGCAAAGAAACAGAAAGATGTCTAATGGTTTGGTATATATATGGAAATAGCTATTTAAAAAGGATATTATTCTACTTACGTAACCTAGAGCAAGGACCTGCTCTGGTATGAAGAATTTTAGGTGGAGCAATCCCCACCTGAGGATATTTACAGGAACCGGATAAGTAGCAGGAGCTGGGCAAAGGTAAGCATTGCACAGATTTGGTAAAGTAAAAAAGTACATTATTTAAGTATTAAAATGCTAAACATACAGCACGCTATGAGAAATAAAATAAAAGAGTAAAACAAGTTTATAAATGGAGTAAATCCTCACTTGACGTGTTTCGCCGAAGCTTTTTCAAAAGTGGATGTCATTCAATGGAAAGACAATTATTTAAATGTTCCCAGGTTGTCATTAGTTGGTTCCAGTGTTTGCACAGCTGTTTCTGGTTTTCAAAAGGTGAGTTACATGGATTCTGATTCCTGAGTTGACAGGTTGTTGGACGTCACTGGGAAGTGACATATACGTAAGTTATCCGGACGCCATTTTGGGTTTGGACAACAGTCCGGTGTATGTACGAATGAAATGCTAGAAGGAAGAATCTTTATGTTAATATTTACAAATACATTGAAATAATAAGAGACTATGCACAGGACATATGTTGATTTCTTAAATGAAACATAGGATAACATACATATTACTAGCCATCCTTTATAAATCACCACCTATGCGTATTGGTAATCATACAGTAAATCACCATCTATGCGTGTTGATACAGAAATTGGAATGTATAAAATTAATATATAAGAATTATATGCAGGGCCGGACTGGCCCACCGGGATACCGGGAAATTTCCCGGTGGGCCGCGGCACCTGGGGCCGGTCTGACAGCTCCTGTGATCCCGGCGGCCGTGTGTGAGCTGTGCGGCCGCACATAGCCCCATGGGAGCAAGGGGGAGCCAGGCGGCCGGCTCACACACGGCCGCCCGGGATCATTTAAAAAAAAATATATATATTTGCGGCGGGGGCGGAGCTTACTGTGCGGCGGGGGCGGGGCTTAGCGTGCGGCGGAGGCGGAGCTTACTGTGCGGCGGGGCCGGCTAATTGCAGCATGGGAAGCAGGAAGGAGTCCCTGCTTCCCCAACAACAAGCCTCCAGGAGCTCCAAGCAGGATGGAAGAAGGAGGTCAGTGTGTCTGTGTGAGTGTGTGACTGTGTGTGTGACTGTCTGTGACTGTCTGTGTGTGTGTGACTGTGACTGTCTGTGTGTGTGTGTGACTGTCTGTGTGTGTGTGTGACTGTGTGTGTGTGACTGTGTGTGTGTGACTGTGACTGTCTGTGAGTGTGTGACTGTGTGTGTGTGACTGTTTGTGTGTGTTTGTGTGTGACTGTCTCTGTGTGCGTGTGACTGCCTTTGTGTGTGACTGCCTGTGTGTGTCTGTCTGCCTGTGTATGTTACTGTCTGTGTGTGACTGTGTGTGTGACTGTCTGTGTGTGTGACTGTGTGTGTGTGTGTGACTGTGTGTGTGGCTGTGTGTGACTGTGTGTGTGGCTGTGTGTGACTGTCTGCCTGGCTGTGTGTGGCTGTCTGCCTGTGTGTGTGTGGCTGTCTGCCTGTGTGTGTGTGGCTGTCTGCCTGTCTGTATGTGTGGATGTTTGCCTCGGTGTCAGTGACTGTTTGCCTCTGTGTGTGTGTGCGCACCTGCTAGTGAGGGAGCCTCTGTGTGTGTGTGTGGCTGCTAGTGAGTTTGTGTGTGTGTGCCTGCTAGTGAGTGAGCTTGTATGTGTGTCAGTGAGCTTGTCTGTAGGGATCATATGTGTGTGTGTTAGTGAGCTCTTGTCTGTAAGGAGTATGGGTGTGATCGTGGGCTTGTCTGTAGTGAGCGTGTGTGTCAGTGAGCTTGTCTGTAGTAAGCGTGTGTGTCAGTGAACGTGTGTGTCAGTGAGCTTGTCTGTAGTGACCATATGTGTCAGTGAGCTTGTCTGTAGTGACCGTGTGTGTCAGTGAGCTTGTCTGTAGTGAGCATGTGTGTGTCAGTGAGCTTGTCTGTAGTGAATCTGTGTTAGTGAGCTCTTCTGTAGGGAGCATGTGTGTGTCAATGGGCTTGTCTGTAGGGAGAGTGTGTGCGCATCAGTGAACTTGTCTGTAGTGAGCGTGTGTGTGTGACAGTGAGTTTGTCTGTAGTAAGCTTGTGTGTGTATCAGAGTTTGTCTGTACTAAATTTGTGTGTCTGCCAGTAACCTTGTCTGTGTGTGTCATTGAGATTGTCTGTCAATGAGCCTATTTGTATGCATCAGTAAGATTGTCTGTGTCTGTGTGTGAGTATGCTTTACTGTATAATTTAATTACCCTGAAAGGACTAATATTTTGAATTAGAAGAAGAAATGTATCAATAATATATATACACATTAAAGGTCCACTCTAGGCACCCAGAGCACTTCAGCTTAATGAAGTGATCTGGGTGCCTGGTCCAGCCATGGTTAACCCATTTTTTCATAAACATAGCAGTTTCAGAGTGCTATGTTTATTAATGGGTTAAGCCTTCCCCTATTTCCTCTAGTGGCTGTCTCATTGACAGCCACTAGAGGCGCTTGCGTGCTTCTCACTGTGATTTTCACAGTGAGAGCACGCCAGCGTCCATAGGAAAGCATTGATAATGCTTTCCTATGTGACTGGCTGAATGCGTGCGCAGCTCTTGCTCTTGCCGCGTGTGCGCATTCAGCCGACGGGGAGGAGAGAAGGAGGATCGGAGGAGGAGAGCTCCCTGCCCAGCGCTGGAAAAAGGTAAGTTTTTTCCCCCTTTCCCCCTTCCAGAGCCGGGCGAGAGGGGGACCCTGAAGGTGGGGGCACCCTCAGGGCACTATAATGGTCCTTTAATATATAACACCCTACATAGCACAATGACTTATGGGGCTGGCATAGATTTTTTTCCAGGGCTGCTTCGTATCCCCAGTCCGGCCCTGTTGAAGTGGTCTGGGTGCTGTGTCCAGGGCCAAATTAAGAGCCCAGTGGGCCTGGTGCTGACAATAATGATGGGCCTAATTACAAAATCTTATTGACCAAAAACACTAAAACAATCCTACCTCCCAAGCATCATGTATCTGATGGAGATGGTGCTTGAGGGAAACTCATAGGATGCAGCTATGAGAAAACACATACCCTATGCTAATCTCATGTTTTAATCTTTCAAGTAAATCCATACCCCCTAGTAGCAGTGTCCAGTAAAGCAGGAAGTCTATGGATGGGGTAAAAGGGTGGGCCACTGACGCAAATCACATAACCAGAACTGCCGAAAGTGGCGAACATACCCAAAAAGGAGGCATGTCTGTGTCCCCATGTCTCCCAGTCCCTTAGTGTGTGTGTCCCCATGTCCCTAGGACACTAGGGGACATTGAGACACTGTGAGACATGGGGACACTGAGATACTAGAGAACACTGGGAGACCTGGGGCATGAGACACTGTGATACATAGGGGATACTGTGATATATAGGGGACACAGACACTTTGGGGCACTGTGAGACATGGGGACACTGGAAGACTAGGGGACATTGAGACACTAAGAGACATTAGGCACTGAGACACTCTGATACATGGGGGATACTGTGATATATAGGGGACACTGGAGACTTGATAAAGACCTGGGTACAGGTCGAAATGTTGCGGTGTCCAATAAACCTGCTTAAATCTATCACAGTGAGTGCCTGAGATTTTTTTCTTTTATACTAGGGGACACAGACACTTGGAGACATGGGGACACAGAGACATTGGAACACTGGCTGGGAGACATGGGGACACGGAGACATGGGGACACAGACTAGGGGCCACTGTTTCCCTAGTGTCTCAGGGTCCCCATGTCCCCCAGTGTCCCAATGTCTCTCACGGTCCCCATGTCTCACAGTTTCCCCTAGTGTCTCAGTGTCCCCAATTCTCCAAGTGCCCCCTAGAGTCTCAGTGTGACCAAGTGTTCCTATGTCTCCCAGTGTCCCCAAGTCTCTCACCGTCCCCATCTTTCACGGTTTCCCCTAGTGTCTGTGACCCCAGGTCTTCCAGTGCTCCCTAGAGCAGCGTTTCCCAAACCAATCCTCAAGACCCACCAACAGTCCAGGTTTTGTTAGTATCTCCATTGGAATAAAACAGGGAAATCTATAAATTCTGGACTGTTGGTGGGCCATGAGGACTGGTTTGGGAACCTCTGCCCTAGAGTCTTAGTGTGACCAAGTGTCCCTATGTCTCCCAGTGTCGCCTAGTGTCTCAGTGACCTCATGTCTCACAGTGCCCCCTAGTGTCTGTGTCCCTGCAGCCTTTCCCCCCATCCCTCACTTACCTGAGCTTTGGCTGTCTCTGCAGGCTTGGAGCTGCTGTCTGGACTCTCTATACAGAGCTGCTCCCTCGCGGATCAGTGAGTAGAGGGAGATGCTGTAACTTCTTATCCCTGCCTCTCTCCACACAAACAGCGGTGCTGGTATTGCAGAATAATCTGTTTAAACTGAGACTGACATTTGTATTGCCAGTTCTGCAATACCGGCACGGGCTAGGCAGCCTCAAATACCTGAGTAATACTTCTGAGAAATACCTGGCAGCCCTAAGAAATACCTGAGAAGTACCTGGCAACGCTAAGAGTAGTGTGTAAAAAATAAATAATTTTTTTATTTTATTTATTTTTTTAAATCAATGGGCCTATTCCATGGGCTTGGGCCTGGAGCTGCAGCTCTATCAGCCCCTATGTTAATCTGGCCCTGGCTGTGTCCTTTTTGCACCTAGTGCTGCAATGTTAAACATTGTAGTTCCAGAGAACTACAATGTTTACATTGCAGCTCTAAGTCTGCCCTCACTGGCTGTCTGAAAGACAGTCACTAGAGGGCTTCCTGAATCGAAACGGACTTTTGCTACATTATCTGACGCTGCATGAAGACGTCCAGCGTCAGATTTTCCCCATAGGAAAGCATTCCCCATAGGAAAGCCATGGGCTTGGGCCTGGAGCTGCAGCTCTATCAGCCCCTATGTTAATCTGGCCCTGGCTGTGTCCCTTTTGCACCTAGTGCTGCAATGTTAAACATTGTAGTTCCAGAGAACTACAATGTTTACATTGCAGCTCTAAGTCTGCCCTCACTGGCTGTCTGAAAGACAGTCACTAGAGGGCTTCCTGAATCGAAACGGACTTTTGCTACATTATCTGACGCTGCATGAAGACGTCCAGCGTCAGATTTTCCCCCATAGGAAAGCATTGTTTAATGCTTTCCAATGGGGAGGTCTAATGCATGTCGCGGGGCTGAAGGAGGGGCGGAGCTTCAACCCAGGGTTTTAACCCTTTATTTACCGCGAGGTATAGTGGAGGAGGAGGGATCGGTAGTGCCAGGAATACAGCTTTGTATTCCTGGCACTATAGTATCCCTTTAAGGCTTGTATTCCTTTTACAGTCAGAATTAATTTGACAGAAAACTTGATTGGGGCAATATTTATTACAAGCAAATTATTTCCAAGTGAGTATGGAAATTCAGTCATAAGGATTGATCATCTTGAGATTATATTTAGCTACAAAAGGGTATTATTGAGCAAGGTAGGTGGACAAGCCAATCAAAAACCATTTAGAAGAAACATCTCTAAATTGGAAATTCCAACATCATGTGAGAGATTTAACAAGTGTGATAAAATGACTGTGTTAAAATGATTATGGCATGTTGGGGGGAGAGAGAAATAAGCACAAATTAATGAAACCAACTTGAGAGCTGAAAGCTGTGCCAGGTAAAAAAACAAAGTGGAACCTGCCAAATTACTCAAGCAACCCACACACTGACTTTAATTACAGTCACTGATTATATATAATTTTGTGTCCCAGCAAACCCCATTCTTCTCTGTTCTTTTCATTTTAATTACAAAAAACCACATCAATAGAAGAGACAAGTCAAAGCTGCAAATCTCTTCTCATAGTTCTACACAGTTACTATGTTGCAAGTCCGGTGATTGAAGAAATATATGAAAAACTTGAAAGACATATGAAAGATGTATGTATGGCTGCAAACTAGCTTTAAAGTGTCATTGTCATTTCTCAAATTATCAAAAGTCAGACGGTAACAGTTCCACTTTAAAGGTACATATCGTGTAAAATGCTAGTTGGCCACCAATTTAAAAAAAAAAACTAAAAAAAA